CGCCCCCCCCCCCCCCCCCCGGCCCTGCTCAGCTGCTGCTCCGGCCATCTGTGCAAAGGCAAACAGAGGACACGGGGATGGAAGCAGAGTGGGAGCCGTGGGGGAGGAAAGAAACTGGGGAGGGTTTGGAAGAAAGGGAGGATCTGTGGAAAATGAAAGGAGGCCATTTTGATATGCAAGGCTTAGTTTAGACGATGAGGAAGGGATGACCGAAGAGGGAAAGAAAGCCGAGGAAGTGTGCGGAAGTTGTTTCCAGGAAGCTGGCGGCATAAAGATGATGTCTGTTCTCTTTTGGAAATAGGACACTAGTGAGCATGTGTGCACATTTAGCTCAGTGGAAACTAGGATGACTACTGTTGTCTGGATTTTAAAGTCTGCTCAGCGAACATCAGCCAATGATGAGCTCATTTTATGACTTGTTTTTCCCAGTCAGTCTCTCCCAGCTTTGCTCTCTGTTCCCATGCTCCACCGGCCAAGCCTCTTCCTCTGCGCTGCCTCAGTTTGTCAGCACTTCACCTCCTGCACAGGCGGCTCCTTGCTCAGTTTGTAAACTTCACCAGGCCAGCTTCCTGCTGCCCCCCCCCACTGCCCTTCTGCTGCTCCGATTTGTAAAAACAAACCTGTCCCTGTTCGTTGTCCTTCCATTTGACAGGAGCATCTAACCTTGATGTATGACAGCTCGTAGTGGAGATGGTTGCAGTTTATCAGGCCTTATACGTCTGTTTGTGACACAGCAATCCAACTGCCTTTGGGTTGATTGTACATCTTGACCCACTTATCCAACACGCCCTTTAAACATTCATCCCTACTGGGCTTTCATTGCTTTTCTTGTCCATATGCATATTAATATTATGTGCAGAGGAGGAGACATTAAAACGACCACATGGATTCTGGTCTGACCGTTCTGACGGCGCTCGCACAGATAGAGGTCGGAGAGGAATCAGGTCTAGGAGCACATAGGCAGGTGGCCCAGATCAGGTCTGAGGACATCTGGTCTGTTCACACTGCTGTGGACACACCAGGTCTGCGTCAGCCTTTGTCTTGCTGTCTACAATCCTCTGTCGACTTCAGGAATGTCTTGGGTTTATGCAGCAGTTCAGTCCAATACAGTATCGTGGTACATCCTGTTCTTTTTCTATACACAGTCAATATGCCTGCTAGCTCTTGTATGAAATATTTCTGTTTGTGATGCTAAAGCTGTAAACCGTCGACCCCTGGGCTAAATAACATTCCTTGGGCTCTGTGTCCTGATGTGAGGCATGTCAAAATGCTTTTCATGTCTGGCCTTGCTGTTGACTAACTGTACTGTGCTGTACATCTTCCCATCTCTCTCCAGAACAGAACTTGTTGCCTCCAGAAAGTCTGTAGACCTGTGGCCATCCAGTGAGTCTTGAATCAGCTGTGCCCTGCAGAGACAGACCATTACCACTCAAGGGGAGATGAAGCCAGATGGGGTTGCCACAGCAGCACTGGAGCCAATGGAAACATTGGAATCCAATCCTGGAAACGAGGCAGCACCGGCTGTGGGACAGGAGCCCGACCAGGCAGCCAGTCCAGAGGAGATGATGCCACAGCAGCCTGCAGGGGAGCCAGGCCAGGTGGCGCCCCAGCCAGAACAGGCCAAGAAAACCCCAGCTGCCAAGACCAGCAACAAGACCTCAGGAGAGGCCAAAGCCAAGACCATCACCAAGGCCACAGCCAGGTTGAAACCTAGAAACACCAGCCCAGCCAAGACCACACCTGGCTCACGCTCCAACACATCCCAGAGCCGCCTATCAAATGGTGTGTCTAAGCCTCAAGCCAACGGAGTGGCTAGGAAGAGCACACCTACTCCGGACAAAAAGAGCACCCCAACCTCCGCTGCTGCCAAAAAACCAGCAGGGCTGTCCTCCAAGACCAAAGTGGGTGAGAAGAAAGCCACGGGGCCTACTCCTGCCACCAACGGCACAAAGACAACAACCACAAAAACAGCAGTCAAGACGCCACCGTCCACAGCTGCTAACGGCATCAAACCCAGCACCACTGCAGCTGCTGTGAAGAAGCCCTCAGGTTGGTGGAAATGTCAGCACAAGACAGAAAGCTGAGATTAGTGTAGCTGAAAATGGTCTGAGACAGCTACATGCACAGCAGGTCCAGCATGAACTGATAGCGCTGCTCTAACGAGGAGTGTTCATGCACATTAAACAGGCCAGAGTGGCTGCTGCTCATCCAGATGTGCATTTACCATCTGTAGCAAAGCTGTATCGGCCCAACCTGTACCTGTGAAATATGTTACTAATGCTGTTCTTCTTGTCCTTCACATCTTTCCTAACTTTCTTCTCCCTCCTCTCCTTCAGCTCCAAAACCTGCCTCTGCAGCTTCATCCAAGCCCAGTGTTTCCAAGACAACCAGGTAGGTGTGACATCTGTGTAGAGCTGAGGTCTCACCTGTGCTGGAGTCTGAAAGAGGCCCTCTCTGTGTCTGTAGACGGCACAGGCAGCCCACTGTGATCAGACGGGGACTGTGAGGGACGAGCATTATAACGCTCCTCGGTGCCAAGTGAAGAGCAGCTGGTTCAGAGGGTGTCACTTAACTCAGGGTTCAAAGAAAAATCACCCAGGTGGAATGAGGGACAGCAGTCATCCAGATGGAGGTGTAGGCCAGCAACCAGCCAGTGTCAGAACACGCCATAGAGGAAGGCCTCGCAGGGCTTCGCTACAGCAGCATAGCGTCATTAATAAAACATGCCTGGGAGTGGGTCGCCTCCAGACAGAGGAGGAGGAGGAGGAGCAGATGAAGGAGTGAAGTCAGAGGTTTTGTTGCTGTAGTTTTGTGTTTCTGTCCCCCAGCACGTGTTGTGTCTGTTGTGTGCAGTCAGACCAACACATGCTCCTCACCTGAGCCGCACTGTGCATAGTGCTGGTTCCTGAAGTGACTTCACCACAGAGGTGGCGTTTGTGAGGGTCGTGATCAGATTGAGCCTTTGGGGCTTTTCCATCAGTGTCTTCCTCTGGTTTGTTAGAACAGCAGCCTCCTTCTTCCTTTAAGCATAGGTTAATTTTTTACGCTCTGTTTTTAATACACAGATTGAAAATGTGTCATCCCTGGTAGGCTAGTGGTTAAGGCACAGCGGTCTCGCCACTGCGGTCCGGGTTCGAATCAGGGTTGCGTCAGGAAGGGCATTCGCCGTAAAACGCGTGCCAAATGTCAACACGCGAGTCATCGGTGTGACGATTCGCTGTGGCGACCCCTAAACGGGAAAAGCTGAAAGTGACTTTCTATTGAAAATGTGTATGGAAACACATCCAGTAACATCCCTGTTGTGTTCACTGGGCAGTGACAACACACTGCGTTATTCACTGGGCAATGACAACACGCTGCGTTATTCACTGGGCAGTGACAACACGCTGCGTTATTCACTGGGCAGTGACAACACGCTGCGTTATTCACAGTGGTGTTAAACACCAGCTGGAGTCGAAATGGATGCAGCTGCAACTTAAAGACCAGTGAGAAGGTAACGCGGTTGAATTTATCAATAGAGCGAGCTGAAATCCAGCCCAGGCTGCTGTTGTAATCAGGTTAAGCTCAGACAATGTGTGTATCCAAGTTGTAGTATTGTGTGTCTCATACAGTAGAAGTGAAGCCCAGAGAAGTAGACCTACATATGAATCCCCATGTGAGACGTATAACCATTACTGATGATTAGCTCGTCTGACAGCACCATGTACCCCTGTAGGCATATCTTAAGTGTGTGTGTGTGTGTGTGTGTGCGCGCGCACGTCAATGTTTGTACATGATGTGCTCTGACAGGAACATTTATTTCTGCTTTAATTTGCCTATTTCTGACTTCAGCCCTGTAGCACAGAGGCCGAGAGCACGACACACACCAGACACACCCTGTTTTTGTTGCTGTCACTCACACACACACACACACACACACACACACACACACACACAGTGTGTCTATCAGTTTACTTGTCTGTGGCTCAATCGGTTCAATTCCAGCTGCAGCAGGTTCCACTTGTCATGCAAATGCAGGGCAGCTAAGTGACGTCAGTCCAACTTCAGGCCAGTGTTTTGTTCCTGTTCAGGTTCAGCTAAGTTCCCAGTTGTTGCTGCCAGCGGCTCTTTCTTTCTTTCAGCTCACTCTTTGGCTTTGTTTATTTTGCTTACACTGGCACACTTGTTCTTTATGAAGTGTGTGTGTGTGTGTGTGTGTGTGCACCTGCTGTTTGAAGCTGACTGTCAACAGCATGCAGCTCATGACAAACAGTTGGTGAGCAAATGGAGAAAATAGAAATTCCAGGTTGTTTAGACATGTCTTCGTGCACTGAGATGTACTGCATGCTGACATCAGCATGTGTGCATGAACACCAACCAGTTTTTGAGCCAGTCTGTGGTTTGTTGGGCAGCTGCAAAGATGATTTACTGCCCAGTCATTGATAATTAGGGACTGGTATGTGGCATGCAAACTGCCAAACACAACAGAACACTGTGAGCCGCAGTGTGCGCACATACAGGTGGTGACTACGGACAGGAAACCTCCAAGTAACTGATTAACCAGCTGGTCAGTGATTGATCTTTTTATTCACAGAATGCCAGACTCTGGGACCAAGTCCCATTGTGACTTCCCAGAGTCTTCTGATGCCTGGCTAACCAGGCTCCGTCGGTCACTGTGGTGTAGTTTGTCCTTTCAGCTGTCGCCCTGATGTAGGCGCTTTCCTCGGAGCAGCATGTGATTAGAATGCAGAGCATGTTCTCATTTCCAGGTGTATTACTCAGTATGGTAGTAAACAGGGGAAGGGAGGCACACACCGGCTTGCTGAGCACGTGGTACGTGCACACGTGCCATTGAGACACTTTCTTCTACCTGCGCCATGGTCTATGGAAGAGGGAAATTAAAACAAAAATGGTGGCAGTGGAGTGTGGAAGCTGCATGGATAAAGAAGTCCCTGCTGAGTTCCTGTTGCTGCTGCTAGAGATGTGTGTGTGTGTGTGTGTGTGTGTGTGTGTGTGTGTGAGGGAGGCAGGCAGGTAGGTAGGTAGGCAGCGAGGGTCAGAGGTGTCTCTTTGTGGAACAGGAGGTGCTGCCTTTCTGTACATCAGAGGGCAGAGCAGGAACGAGCTCACTGTGGTTGATCAGCTGGTTTTCCATCATGTTCCCTCATTAGTCCTGCTGTTTCGCTCATGGATGGTCCCTCAGGGATGATACGTTTTTATTGAAGGCAGCCCTCTTCATGATCGAACAGATTGCTGCTGCTGTAATGGCCCAGCGCTGCTGAGTGCTGGGAGCAGTGGTCCGGCTCTGTGCCCAGTCCCCGTCTAAGCAGGCGACGTGTCATGCAGGCTGTAAATCCTCCATTGTGCTGTGGGTGTGGTCGATGACTCTGTGATCCTGCAATGATCTCATCAGGGTGCAGCCGCAGAGGCAATTACTAAATGGATGTATCAGGCAGGAGCCAGTGGGGGGGGTGGAGAGGAGGGACAGACGTGTGGTAGATGTGACAAGCCCTGAAGGAAACGCTTGGTGGAAAGTAGTGTGTTCTCTGTGCAGAACCACATATTGAACATCATATATCTTCTGATAAAGACTAATCTCCTCCATAGCATGTGACTGATGTAGATTTAATGAACCATGCTAGCGGTTAGCGCTGGACTGACCTTTCCACTGCGTCCTACAGTCTGTGGAGGTGTCTTCTCTTCTGAGGATTTGGACAAAATAAATCTGAGAGCTTCACTGTGAACATTTGCATCTTTTCTCCCATATCATCTAATACATGCTATACTCTTCACTAGGAGCTTTTCTTTATTTTGTTCTGTTACCTGAGGATCACATGTACATTATTGAACGCAGAGCCCTGGCGTCCATGCTGCGGCCTGGGGCTCCCACACCGAGGCCCAACTGGTTCCCACTGTCCCATAAGGATACCTTGACACAGGAAGAACAACAATGGACTCGATGCTTCCTGGGGTGGATGGAGGCCAGTGTAATCAGGACGGTTTATATTTCTGGTGTTTAATTAGCACAACATGTCTTTAACGTGATGCTTGTCCTGAGAAGAGGCAGGTCCTTATGCTTGCTAAGCTCCTGCCTTTCCATTTGTCCCCTTTCATGGTGCATCTCCTTGTATAAATAAAGGCCTAACTCCTGTTGTATGGAAACAAAGCAGCACCAGCAGGCAGCCATGTTTTACACACTGCTCTCTCTTCTCAGCTGCAGTAAATCTAAGCTGCTGTCAGTGATCCTCGGGCGACTGAGGCCAACTTGCGGTGGTTAGATGTGCGGCTCAGTGCGCCTGCAGCAACCGGTCGTCACCGTCATCAGATTTTTCAGCTCTGCTGCATGTCGGGGTTTCTGTTCCACATTTGCTTTAACCTCAATTTATAGTGTTGTTTGGCTGTGGAAGGCCTCTGGTCAGATGGCAACAATGAACTCAGTTCTTCCTTTGAAACAAACTCCCCACTGAGTTAAATGTAGGCGCGAAGTGGCATCATCTCAAGATGACAGGAGCCCTCACAGTCTCCTCTGTCGTTCAGCTGACGGAGGGTTTGAGAGTGAACTGAAGCATCATTGTACTCAGGCATTTTCACCATGGTGAAAGGATGAGCTTGATGATTTGGTGTTGATGTTACACAAACCCCATCCAGAGCTGTTTGTTGGAAACAGATGGCCTCCTGTGTTTCCTGAGAAGGAAACCTGCTCTCAGTGCACGGGGGGGGCTAATAGCTGGTGAACCAGGGTCTGAACTCGCACATTACCGTGAGGACGCCACACTGTTAGTTTCTGGATGGGGTTTGTGCAACGTAACACAGACAGCAAATCATTGGCCTGTTTCTTTAAACAACTTACAGTCTCAGAATACACAACGGCTCCATCACTGTCTTTTAAATACTGTAATAGGTTTTCAGCTGCACACTGACGTCTTTGATAAGACACTGATATAAGATAACGTGTGCTCGGCTGGATGAGATCCACCCTCCCTTTTCCATCTCCCTCTCTCTCTTGTGTGATCTTGTTCTTTCTCAGTGGCCTGGTTCGTTTCCAGTGCTCTGTGCAGCACGCCTGCCTTTAAGGATGATCCATTTTCCTTTTGTCAGGTAGATTATTGTGACTTCTGTCTCTGAATATGGCCTCAGCGAGCTTCATCTCTGGCCTTCCGTTCTCCGTTCCTTCACGTTCTTCACACACAGATTCAGACACTTATTCTCATTTCACCTCGTTCACTATTCACAGATTTAGGCTAAAAATCTAAACGTCTCACCTGCTGTTTCTCCGTCTAAGCTTCGGATACAGCGCTTTGCAGTGGAGGATATTAGGAGAAGTGTATTTACTCAGACCAGTTAAACTGAGACTTTGTTTATCTTTGACAACACCAGCACATTCACTCACCAGCGTCCTTGGCAGTGTGTTCTGAGTCTCCTCCCAGCACAGATACATGACTCTGTGGCACAGAAGGACTTTCTGATTGTAAAACTGCATAGACATGGTCTGACAATCTCACCTTTCAACACCCCAAAACGACTTCTAAGTGATTTGGATCAACTGCTGAAGCTTGTATGAACGTCTGACATGCACACACTTGTGTTGTGCTGCTCCCTGGCTTTAATCGTATTTCATGTTACCAGCCGTGTTCCACTACATTCGCCAGGTTGTGAGCAGCACTAGCTCACTGCCCCCTCACACAGCGACTGTGCACGGCTCCAACTGGGGGATTTGGAGAAGTTATTTTTGTTCTTCTTTCAGTATAAAAGATGAACGCGGTCCCTCTACCTCCCTCACGTTGCCTGTTCTCTTTCTGCCTGTATGACCTCTTTATTTAGAAACAGGCAGTTAGAGCAGCGAGGCCCAGGAGATTGCACACCACAGCCTTGTCAGGACGATGAGATGCAGGCTGCTTTGCCCAGATCTGACATAGAAGTCAGAATCTGGGCCAGGCAGGCTGATGCATAATGCCCCAAGTGTCGTCCCCTTGTGGGTACAGGCTGGCCCAGCAACTTTTTCACATTTGTAGTTGCTCATATTCCACTAGAATGAGGTGTGCGTGTCCGTCTTTGGATGTTTGAGAAGGTGGTCATCAGTGGTTGGTTCCTTGTCTGAACTTGTTCACTGGACTTGTACTAAATCCACAGCAATGAGAGGCTGTTTGGGTTGGAGCCTTTCCTACATGCAGACATTGCTCGTGTCTGTACTGTTTTTAGGGTACCCTCCGGCATCCCCCCGTGACTGAGAGAGACGTACATCACAGGGCTGCGGGGGGCCTGATGTTTGCCCTGAGCTGCAAATGACTCACATGCTTCAGTTAATCTTCATTGCGGACACAGACATGTTGGAGAGTGGATGAGACCTTTAGCAGCATCTCTGTGCTGTAGTGTGTCTACTAACCCTTTTCACCCTTCTTTCTTCAGGCCTACATCCGGCACGGCGGCGCCTCCTCGTCCGGCCACAGGCTCAACCCGGCCCCCCACTACCAACACGACCAAGAGCTCCACAGCTACATCCAAACCTGCGACCCCTAAAACCCCCTCCACCACTGCCAAGCCTGCCACCTCCAAGACCACCTCCACCACCCCCTCTGCTGGCAAACCTCCAGCATCACAAATCTCTAGAAACTCAACTCCAGTGAAAAAAGGTACGAACTAAATTTTGCATATTTCAAATTATTCTAGTTGAAGTCGGGTCCATTACAAGGGCAACGACACAGTTAGACATGCAACAGAGGATCGAGGGGCGTTGTAGAAGATGTGGCCTGGTAGTCGACATGAGGACCACTGCCCACAATGTCCAGTTTAGCCAGAACAGGAGGACACAGAGCTAACAGCCACTGGAGCTCTCACAGTCAGTACATACATGCTTGTTCTTTTGACAGTGTCACACAGGACAAATCCCAGTTCACTTAACTGCATTCATGCTTCCTTCACGTACATCTTTCCCTTGTGTGTTTGTCGCCCCGCCCTTAAGATGTAAGGAGAGATTTCCGAGAGGACTCGTTGCAGAAAGCTTAATTATTTGATCTTGCTCTATGTTAGCTTTGTTATAACAGTGTTTAACCATTCCTTGTGACCTGTTTCCCCCCAGATGTTGGCAAACCTGCCACCCCAGCAGCCAAAAAGCCTGCAGAGTCTCCCCTTTCCCGCCCATCATCTACAGCAAAGTCAGCAAAACCTGAGACCCCCAAACCAGCCTCAAAGTCAGAAGTCACTACCAAAAAGCCCAGTGCTCCGAAGGCTGCAGACGCAAAGACACCCACCCGCTCCAAAACACAGGAGAGCAAGCCCACCCTGTCCAAGGATGTTTCCAAGACGCCCAGCTCTAAAACGGCTGCAACTAAGGCTTCCAGCCCCAAGAAGGCTGTGGGCAGCAGCAGCACCCCAACTCCTGTGAAACGTGCCCCTAAAGCTGCTGCTGAAC